GCCTTCCAGAGGTTTCTGAGAGGGGGTCCTCCTAGCCCCTTTTCTCCTCTGCCCACACCCACTGCTCTCTTTGCCCCCTCCCTTCCCCACCTGGCCTGCAGGGCGCAGAGCAGGCTGGACGCTGACACCTGCTTAGGGTGCTCGGGTGCCAGGCTCAGCCAGGCTAGGCGTTCTGCACTGAGAGGTGGGCCCTGGGGAGGAGCTGCGGCAGGGTCTCTGAGAGTGCACAGGGCTTGCAGGGGGCGGTGGGAAGACTGAGGAGGAAGGGGGGGTGGCCAGCAGCTGTCGGGGCCTCGGGTTGGAGGTGGGAGACGGAGGCAGCAGGGCCTGCCAAGTACAGCCACAGGTAGGGGAAGGCCGCTGGCCACGGCTGCTCCCTGGCGGCCGCATTACCGGCTGGGAGCCCGTTGAAGCTGGGTGTGTGTGTGCCAGAGATGGCCTGACTCCCAGTCCCTCTGAGACACACGGGGCTCAAGCAGCACCGGTAACCCATGAGTAGGGAGCGGGCCTCAGGTGGGGCAGGGCCTGGCATGGGCAACGCTGAGAACCAGGCCACAGGAGAAAGAGTTGAGCAAAGGGGTGACCATGGAGGATAAAAGCCAGGGGACTTCACGGAGATGCAGAGCCCACCTTTAGATACCCACATATTTCCTGACTACTGTATAAGACGAGGGGAGATGTCAGGATGAGAGGGGGCTGGGGAGACATGCCTGTGAGTCTGTCCACAGAGCTGAGAACTGGGGATCCCACCCCCTCCCCAAGGTAGGCAGGGGCATGGCCTGTCCTCTCCTGTTGTCTCTGAAACCAACAGAGCTCCCAGGCCCAGGCCCCACATGGGGCCACTTCCAAACAAGGCCACCCGAGCTCAGCGGGCTCTGCCTCTCAAAGGTTTACACTAAAATGTACTTGGCTTCAGCCCATTTCACTTGAATGTCCTTTAGGAGAAGAGTTATAAACACAAGGCCAGTGCCCTGACGCCCAGCAGGGCTGGGAGAACTGTTAACACCAAGTTTGTCTATGGCTGCTCTGGGAAGCTGGCCAGGCTCAGGTTAGTGACGTTTCGCTAGCCTGAATTGGGAGCCTTATGCAATGACAATCCTCCGTGACTTCTAGGGCAGTTTTGTCTGCATAAGGAATGCGGGAAGGCACAGAGCAAAGGGATTCATTTGAGTGTGGAGCCAGAAACACACTGGCTTCTTGGCCAGTGACGTTTTGTCTATTGGAGGGCAATGCCTTCAATGGGCATTCAGCAAGCAGGCTATGGAGCATCCCCAAATGAGAAATTTCCCCCCATTAACGATTCTTTTAAAAACAAACAAACAAACTGTACTTGGCACAGACAAGTTTCCGCATAGGAGAGTAGAGCTGAGATCCTCGGTGCTCAGTGGAAAGTATGGATTTGCTCCCAGAGACTTCCGAACCACAAGTGACCAAAGTCCAGGCCAGAGAGGCCTGCCTGGGTGAGAGCTGGGTGGGGAGGCCGGGCCCTTGCTTAGCTGACAAAGATCACTTCCAAATTCTCTCCTTTCCTTTCCCCTTGCTGGAGGTAGCAGAGGCCTGGAGAGCCTCAGCCCTGGGTGGGTTCCTCATCACCGCGTCAGCTGTGTTAGGGGACAGCAGAGAAATGAAACCCAGGCGCCCTGAAAGGCGGTGGGGAGGCACCTAGCCACTGCCCCTGTGGCTCCTGGCTGGAAGGGGGGACCCCACTCACTCCTGTTTTGGGGGGATGCTGAGCCCACACGTGTTAACACGGCCCCTCTGGGCCCAGGCCGAGCTTAGGCACGTGTGGGTAAGACTGGGACAAATGGTCTGAGCAGCAGCCCGCCAGGTCGTCTTCCCCAGTCTTCCCCGTGCTCTCCGTCAAGGAAACACAGGTTCCCCTGGCAGCATCCTCGAGCCTGTTAACACAGTAGAAATGAGTTGCTGGGTCTCTGCTTTGGTTCTTCTGATGCACCTATTTTGGGTTTGAGGTCTGAGGCCTTGGGGGCGAGGGCCGGGCTTCTCTCTGCCCCAGCCCCGGGGCTTCCTGCTGTTGCACGGCAGCTGTTCTGATCCAACAGCATCTCTGCCCGGCCTCCTCCTCGCTTTCAAGTAAACGCTTTCTGCCAGTGTCAAGTCATAGACATTTCTCATGTCCTCTGACCAGTGGAGGCCGCATCTGAGAAAGGAGTCTTCTAGGATGGACTGGGGCTTCGTCCTTCTTGGGTAAAGCCGTGAGGAGAGAGTGGACGGGGCTGTGGTGTGGAGAGCTGGCTGGGTCATCTTCTCTGTGAAATGGGAGGTCGTGTCCCGCCTCCAAGGCTTGTTAGGATGAGACGGGCATGTTGGTGAGAGCGCCAGCACCCGCATCCAACGACTCTGGGTACCACCGCTGTCATCATTGTTAAGATGATGCTGCTGAGGTTCCCGCTGGCTCCAGGCTCCTGGGGGCTCCGTGGGTCAGTGTTTCAAGCAGCCACCGCTCCAGGCCTCAGGCAGAAGCAGCCCCCTCCCTAACCTGCAAGGCCAGCTGCGACTGTCCAACTCCCCGCTCCTGGGCAAGTTTGCCTCTCTCCTTCCCTACTCACCCTCCTCCGATATCTCAGACACTGAGAGGCGAGCTGGCTTCCTGGGGCCGCTCACCACGTGGTCTGCGCCGCCCGAGAGCCTCAGGGCAGAAGCGGGGCTGAGACCTGTGTGGGCTCCTGGGCGGGCCTCCTTGGGCTGCCTTCCCTCTTCCCGCGTCCTCTCCCTCCCAGAGCCACACACTCTTTGGCAGGTGTAAGTGCGGGGCGCAGGGGGGAAGGAGGGAAAAGGCATGCGCAGTGCCAGTCCCTGTTACACAGCAGGGAGGTCAAGAGGCTGGGTTCAAGTCTACAACCCCTGGCTATGGCTCTTGGGAAATTACCTAAGCCTGCATGCCTCAGTTTCTCCATCTGAGACCTGGGGACTTGTATCAACCTCACAGAGCTGTGGTAAGTCACCTTTGTTAGCTCAGTTAGAACCGTGACGCTACATACTATGTAAGAATTAGCTATTACTACTAAGTGAGGTCATTAAATTTTCATAGACCTAATTATCTGCATCAAGTAGGTATTAGTAACATTCTTGACTTACAGGGGAGGCTATACCAACACCACATTTAGACTGGGAAACTTAGAAGAAGATATATCTCATGCTCCCAGGTCAGAAGTTAGGGATCTAGCCCTCCACACTTGTTTTGCCTCCTTCAGAGCCTGAAACATATTTGACTTAGTTACCATCAACTATGCATTGATTTCACATAAAACTTCAGATTTCTGCCTTCTCGTGAAAAAGCAGACCTGCCGATAGAAGCCTGCCTTCCACGTGACAGTGATGGGCTAGAGCTGAACAGCAGTTGCTTGCTTTGGACGAGGTCAGGCTTCTCCAGCTGGTCACAGCCCTCACCACTCCCTATTGCATCTCTCAGATTACAGCCAAGGGTTAGCTGCCAATCATAATTGTGCTGCTGCTGCTGCTACTGGTTTCTAAGGACCATCCGCTTCACTCGGATTGCTTACCTGCTCCCTATGGACATGCAGGTTTGTGACCCCTGCTAATGTAGGGGTTTCCATCCTGTTTCATTTTAAGTATCCTATTAATACTTGTGGCATGGAAGGTTCTCTTGCCTATTAAAGGAAGGTTAGCCACCAACAGCTTGGTGAAAATATTGGCTCTTTGCAGGTTTGGAAGTTGGTTGAGGTGTGGAGTGCTCTAGGGAGCTAGAATGAGAAAGGGCGTCTGCCTTCCCTATCCTCCAGCTCTGAAAAGGTGCACAAAGCTCCTGGAGACCAGAATAAGGGACCGTTAAGGGCGGATGGCCCCACTCCAGTCCTCTTGCCTGGAAAATCCCATGGACTGAGGAGCCTGGTGGGCTGCAGTCCATGGGGTCACTAAGAGTCAGACACGACTGAGCGACTTCACTTTCTCTTTTCACTTTCATGCACTGGAGAAGGAAATGGCAACCCACTCCAGTGTTCTTGCCTGGAGAATCCCAGGGATGGGGGAGTCTGGTGGGCTGCCGTCTATGGGGTGGCACAGAGTCAGACACGACTGAAGTGACTTAGCAGCAGCAGCAGCAGCAGCAGCAAGGGGAGATGGACAGATAGACCCCCTTCCTTAGCTCCTCCCAGAAGAGGAGCCCCTGCCCGGTCCAGGGACCTCTGCAGACCAGTCTGCTCCCAAGGCGCCCCCTTCAGCGGCACCGCCCCATCCCCGCCCCCCCACACAACCAGCCTTCTCATCTTAGCCAGCGCCTGCTCCCAGAACCTCAGCCTCAAGCCTTCCAAATGCTGACTTCCAGCTTGATGCCACACTGGACCTTATTTTCCTACAATGGATAAGTATTTTTATCTGACATCTTGGAATACACCTCAGGTCTTCTTTATGAATCATACTCTTGTTTCTGAATTTTCTGGCCAACAACAAGAAAAAGTCATTAGGATAGTATGTTCTTCATCAATAGAGGCATACTGTATGCTCGGAGCCCGGGATGGAAGATTAAAAAACTCCCAAGCTTACCGCTCTACCTATTATGTGGGGCTAAAAAAAACTATATGACTCATAAGTGGCAACTTCCTTTTGGAATCCTGAAGACGTGTAAGTTTACCCTGATTGAAAGCTCAGCCCTGGGAGAGTCTGAAGGCCGGCGTTTCAACAGGCCAAGTCTGTTGCCACAGTAGCTGCACAACAATCTTTAAAAACAGATCACCTTCGAAAGCCCAGGAGGCCGCCCTGTAAGCCCAGCATGACCTCTCTGGGGCTCTGAGAGATATGTTTCGATTTGCTGTGTTTGAGAGTACAAGTCTCGAAGAAGGCTGAAAAGGGCTAGAAACCAAAGGGCTCTGGTGGACCTAACCAAGAAGGCTCTCTGAAGCGACCATCACAGCTCCCTCTACCCATTCACCCATGCAAAAGGCAGCGAGCCCACGACCCCGATGTGCATGGCCAGGAGGGAGCAGTCCGCTCTGCCCCCGGGGAAGGCTCGTGCTTGCTCTTACCGTGGTGCTCAGGCCTCCCGGAAGCGACAGCAGCACAGGCGACGGCGTGTGCGGACGCGGCTGCCTCCTCTCGAGAGGGGCTTCCTCTCAGGACGATGAGATGTGCCTGTCATCACGAAAAGAAGAAACATGTTTGCTTACATGCTTGGCAGCAGCAGCAGGAAACAAACTGTTCTTGCAGCGATAAGCAGAAAGCCAAGGAAACTTCCAGCAACCTAAACAATATAATTTATGTGGAAGCACAATCAACTCTGGGGGGAGCTGGGTTTTAAAAGCATCGTGCAGTGGAGAGAGAATGTACCAAGCCCTGGACGCTGAGTCCAGATGGCTTGATGCTGTGGCCAGGACTTATTTCTAAGTAAATCTTTTAAAAGTCTATCCTCCCATGAGTGCATTGTCAGTAGAAGGAGTCGGGGTTGGTTTCCAGAAGGAAGGAGATGAATTAAAAAGTGCCAGTGCTGCAGCGGAAGTGGGCAAGCACAGTCCCCTACCCACTGGCCAGTCTAGAGAGGGGGACTCACCCCCAGTGTCAGCAGCCTCACCCACTGAAACCCTGACCCCAAACCCATGCTTTGTCTGCCAAGCCCATTCGACTATATCCTCAGCGAACCGGCCATGGGAATTGCCCGAGCACAGTAAACAGCTCAGTTCCTTGAGACGAAGCCCATTTAAAAATTCTCTAATGGAAAAGAACCACTTGATGATACTATGGGGCTCTCGGGTGGCGCAAGTGGTAAAGAACCCGCCTGCCAGTGCAGAGACATAAGAGACTCGGATTCAATCCCTGGGTTGGGAAGATCCCCTACAGGAGGGCATGGCAACCCACTCCAGTAGTCTTGCCTGGAGAATCCCATATATGGAGGAACCTGGCTGGCTACAGTCCTAGGGTTGCAAAGAATCGAACGTGACTGAAGTGACTTAGCACACACGCACACATGATATTATGAGCATAAAGTAATAAAATCCTTTCAAATAAAATACAAAATGCATCCCTTCAAATAAAAAGACATTAAGCAAACAAACAAGTAAATAATCCCATGAATCATTCATAGCTCCTGGAAGCTGAAGGAGTCAGGGTGCTCAGGGCAGTGTGCACCAGCCAGGAGGGATGTCAGCATTCGTAACACAGTAGAAACAGCAAATCTGAAGGCAGAGTATCAAGGTCTGAGTCTTATCTCCATGCTTTATTAGCTGTGAAATATCTTGGGCAAATCACCCCCTCAGCAACCTCAGTTTTTTCATCTATAAAATGAGGATAATACAAATTGTCAAAAATGTTCAAATTGATACCACAAATGGAAGAGAACTAAAGTACAGCCTAAATCTTAGACTACATAAAGCCAGAGCACTAGAATCCTCGAGTCCAGAGACAGCAGTGAGACAGCAAAGCCAGACTTGCTTCTCTGACTACCAGCTAAATGCATTTCTGAGATGATAATCAGGGTAGACTCTAGACTGTCATCTCATTTGTCATATGTTAAAACCTGCTAAGTTACTAGATCTAGACTTCTTATGAGGAGGCTACTCCAAATCAAGATTCTTGGTAATAACTTTTATTGCTGTGTTAGAAGAATCAGAATTTCATATTTGTAAATACTAACAATAGCTTTTGTTTTAAAATGACTTTTAAAATTACAGGATATAAATAAACTGAACGTGTGATTTTGGCAAACCATAATTAGTCATTATCCTCAAGTTGGCCTGAAGTTCTGACTGGAAATGCTTTTCAAATTGGAGCCAGAGGGATACAGTGAGGAATCAGATGTTCAGTGCTCAGGAAATAAAAAAAAAAAAAAAAAAGAGAAAAAGCTTGCCCTGCCCCCAATGCAAATATTAATAGATCATGTTTACTTTGTCTTTTCCCTGCGTTTACTATCTCTACAATCCAGAGGGTGAGGAGAGCACCGTCTGATGCCAGAAGAGATTTAACTCATATTGTTACAAAGACCTTTTACACACAGTATTTTAGATTGACTACAGCTCAAATTTGATTTCAAAAAGATTTCATATTTTGTTTCCACTCGGTATTATAATTCAAGTCAATGCAAAAGATGTGAGTCTATCAAAATTACTTTCAAATGAATAATTAACATGTTCTGAGAGCTAAGCTGTTTTTTGGCTTGGAAACCGGATGCAAAGTTTTCCATGAGCAAAAATGTTCACAGTAACAAGAAAGTGGATCCTGAAATCTTAACAGGGGTCTGAATGTATCACAAAATCTTCATAACTTCAATGTTTTTCTGTATAAGATGCTAACATAAGCGAACATTTAGTATTCATTATTTACTTCAGAAACTCAGTGTCTGATCTAATCTGTTATTTGACGCTCATGAAGCTTCTAAAAGCCATATGCTGGAGTAGGGGCGAGGGCAGTGGAGAAGGGAACCCATGGTATTTAAAACGTGCCACATTAGTATCTCATTTATTCAGAACAATTCAGCTTAATTTAATTCAGTCATATTCAATTCAATTCATCTTAATTATAAAATGCTTTTTGCATGCCACATATTACTCAAACACTAGGAATTCACACAAAAATTAGGCAGAGCTTTTGGTTTTAAAGGCGCTTACAGATGAACAACAAGAATGTGGGGCAGCTTGATTTTACCTAAACTCAGATGCAGCCCCCACTAGGGTTCTGGCTCACTACCTTCCTCTCGACCCTTCCTCCTGTCATCATTTTCAGTGATCTCCTTAAGATAGGCCTGCAGCTATTGGGCAAGAAAGGGATAGTTCAGTTTAACAGACGAATAAGGGAAAGAAGACAATAAAATGACGCTTTGCATGGAGGAAACCTAAGGAAGAGAGTAGAGGACTCCAAACAGGCTGTTTTACCATCAGAGGGAAAGCAAGGGAGGGAGCCTTTGCTGGAACTGGAGAGGTGAGTTATGGGGGAGGGAGCCGTGGCCTTCGGTAGAGGGGTGAAGGCCACCTGCACTGTGCTCTCTTCCTCCAAGGTCAAGGCTGCATGTCTCCCCGGCAGAGGGCAACTGGCCCACAGACACGATGCTTAGTGGGCACAGAGAGGGGTGCAGGGTGGAGCTGACAGAGCAAACTAACACACCCAGTGAATGACCCAGCTAACACCTCGGCCTCCGGGGCTTTGACAGGCTCATTTTCCTCCCCATCCTTGGCCACCCAGTCCCTCATGATCTGTGCTACCTCTGGATCCCACAGTTCACAGAACCTGTTTGACTGTGGGGCATCCTGACTTTATCACATCTGTGTGGCTTCTCATCCTCTGTCCACTCTCCACATCTCACCATCCAACAAGTGTCCCTTCCCTTCTGGTCTAGCTTAGAGGGCACCATCCATCAGTATCTATACGGAAAACGCCCTCAACTCCACTGAAGAAATATTTTGAGATGGTGAAGAATGGGGAACCATCTAAATGCCCATCAGCAGAGGAATGAATATGATGTGGTTTATTCATACAACGATTAAACTCTGTCTACGTGTATTAACATGGTTATATTTCAAAAACACATCATTGAGTGGAAAAGCAACTTACAAAGGATTCAAACATCATGATGCCACTGCTTTTCAAGTTTCTGATTTTAAAGCAAAAGAAAGCCTTTTAGTCCAAACAGAATCGTCCATGGTTTTGTAACATGCAAGGCAGGTAAGAGTGGAGCTGCTCTTACTGAAGCAGGTGGAGAGGGTCTGCAAGCCCACCCAGTTGCTTCCATCCAGCCGCCCCCGAAAGACCCTCCTTGGAGCATGAATGTTGGGGTGACACAGTTTGATAAGCACAGTACCACAAGGGCAGGAGACCTCCTCAGGGAGGGGCACAGAGAATGTTGACAGAGCTCGTGATTAGATCACCCAATCTTTCCAAACTAAGCCACTGTTCACAATTCTGGAGCAATGCTTTGGTTGCTAAGATAATATAAATACCCCTGTTACATACATCTGGAGCATGTGAGGACAAATATTAGAGTGAACCAAGTTGCAGGAGTCCTGCTTGCTACTCTGGCTTTATACAGACGCCCAGGTACCGGCCCCGCTGGGGATCTGCAGCTTAACTACGCTCTCTCTTCCTCGTTTTTTATTAAGCACCCCAGGGCTTGCACCTCTCCTCCTATCCTTTGATATTTTTGATATCTTATGGTTACTTGTTTACCAACTGTCATCTTGAGGCTGAGGAGGAATATTTAATATTCTTAAATCTTTCCAGCTTCTAGCATGTCGTCCTGGATTAAAAACAAAAACATCTTTAATGTCCCATATGGAGCAAGGTCATTAATTGAAAAAACTCATTCATGAGACCAACCGCCTGAAGCCCTGGCAAGGTGCAGAGCAGCTGTTGCATTGCGGTCCTCCTGTGTGTTTCTGGGGAAACCACCGGTTCCTCAGCACCAAATGAGCTGTCAATAGACACAGCCAGAGCCAGGGCTGGCAGACTCTTATCTAACTGGGCCTGTCCCCGCGGATTTGGAAAATGTGTGATAGTTTTTGAAGAGAAAACTTGATGACTAGTAAAAAGGATGTTTCTATTTATGCAGGCAGACACCATCATATGAATATTCAACTTAAAACACGGGGTTCATTCTGAGTGTGGAACTCCAATTCCTGGGGAGGAGGGAGAGAGATTTCTTTTTTTCTCCTTTTGATAATAATTAGGGGAATCCATGACTCAGAGGGAAATCTCTCCCACAGCAAAGTGAAGAGCACTCGAGCAGCTCAAAGTACGTTCGTGGACTGAAACCGTATCTCTTTACCCTGGAGATGAGCACTCTCACTGACAGGAAAACAGTAATTGCCAGGATCTCTCAGTACAGCTGAGGGCTGGGGAGGGGAGGGCCTGAGGGAACTAACACTGAGGCACACTGGCTCCACTTAGTCTCAAAATGACCAGTGAGAGTGATGCTAACTGCCTAATTTAAGGATGGGAAAATGAAGTTTTGAGGAGAATAAACCACTGTCTGAAGGTCACAGAGTTGGCTGATGACAGAACAGGGGTTCAAACTAGGGCCTGGGATTTCAAATTGCACATTTTGCTCATCTAACACCTGGTCATCAAGAGGGCAGAAGTCACAGAAAGGTGATTTTCAAGTCAACATAATGAAGAACTATTAAGAGTCAGAGAACAGCTGCTACATAGAC